TCAGTACACAGTTCTTCTGTGCTTTAACTTTTGCTTCGAAAGCGTGGAACTTTTTTTTTCTAGCCAATCATCTATGCCAGTGCAAGCTCTAATATGGGGAGAATTATCAACATTGAGTTCCTAATGCAATAGATTCAATATTGCTTCTAAATCTGGAACATCAACACTGTTCCATGCACTTTTATACAATTCTGATTGCATTTACAGATAAACTTTAAAAATTACAAGGGCAAGCACTTAGTATAAGGCTTCCAAGAGAAGTCACTGTGTGGTTAGCCAGGCTGAGCTTTTCACACAGAAACTAGTGCATATGACACTGCATCTGCATATTTTTCCTCTGAAATAAGTACAAGAGACCCCAAGGAAAAGGATATAAACTAAACCACATGCATTGTTGTCTTTCGAACATGTAAGGTCAGTGACTCTTGATTTTTTTACTTCTCATAATTTCTTTTCCTATCTCACTCAAGACAACTTTTGTTTAGACGGTCTGAAGAGAGGTTGCTACTGGCATCTTATGACAATTGCCCTCTTAGCCAGGTGCAGGATGTTGTTTGAAAGCTCTAAGGTGTGTGATTGTTATTTGGTCAGGGTAGCTGTGAGGACTCATGGCATCAGTTGCTACATCCTGTTGCATGTAGGACACTGTGCATCTGCAGCCCTCTGACCTCTCCACAGTCACCTCCGAAATGTACATTCAGTTCTTACCAGGCAAAGTCTAATGGCTAGATGAAAGAAAAAGGCAACTCGCTGAATTTCTTGCTGGAACTGTTCTCTGGACCATTCTCAGAGTCCTGTTTTAAATGCAGGGTAGTAAACAGTGAACTTACATTAGTCCCAGTTTCTCGCCAATCCCATGTCCGGCTTCCTCCCGGCCATACTTTGCAGTCCTTATATGTTGTAGAGCAGCCTTTCACCTTCATCTGACCCCAAGAAAGGGAAGCAATTTCAGGGGAAGACATCACAAAGTTGAAACAAAGTCTGGAAAAAGGATATTTAATATATAACATCAGGCCAACATATGCAGCACATTAATAAAAACGGAAAATTCTGTCCTTGCCCCAAGGAGCTAGGAAGGAAACACTATTACAGACTTCATCCACGTGACTTTGTGACAACAGACTTGAACTGAGGATCAGCAGATTTGTTGAATTACCAGTCCTCTTGGGGATTTTGTGCAAATCATTTTATGTGCTAAATCTGTACAAGTACTGGGTGTTCAACTTTTAAAACTATCAACAGGGATCAAGTGCCAGAATATCCTCTCACATCTGGGTTTTAATCTTCTCCCTAAAATGTACAATGAAGATGATAATAATTTCCTAAAATATCTGAGATCTACACTATAACTTTGGCTGCTTCACTAAAGTGGCAAATGAGGCTAAAAAGAAATGCCAAACAAACAAACCCAACAGAAAAGCCACGAACCAAACAGTGGCACTGCCATATTGCTACAGCAAACAAGACTTCCAGGGGTGTAAAGGGGTCAAACCTTCTTTCCCCCATCCCTCCTGACAGAGGGCAAGTCTCCCACAATAGTTATACATCCAAATAGCAACTTGTCTAATTGTTTGACCTCAATCTTCATTGTTTCAACTTAAACCCATTGTTTCTAAATTTTTCTGTTGGGGACAAGTAGAACAGCTTAATTTTTGTCTTTTTCACCATTTTTTTGTTTTCTTGAGGATTTCACTCAGTTTTTTTTTCCCCTTCATTTAGATCAAATAAACTTCCCTTCAGTCACGTTTTCTAAATCTCTGCTTATTTCCTCCTTTTTTTCTGTGGCATCCAGCAACTGGTATGCATCTTTCTTTGATGTCTATTGCCTGGAACTAGACAGAGCCTTATTGGTGCCACTATAGACCAACTGCTTTTTGGTGTGTGCTGCAGCAATGTTTGGATCTGCTGTCACAGGCACTGCTGGGCACCACCAGGGCAAGGGCTCTGCCTCACAAAGTACTGTGTTATCTCCTGGTGTTATCTCACCATGTTATCTCACCGTGAAAGCTTTCACCCTCCTCACAGTCCCTCATGTTATTGCACACCAGTCTGATTGCTGGTGTGATTCGGGCAGTAGAGGAAAAGAGAGGAATCACAGGGTGATGATATACGCTGGAAGTGTGTTAGACTAGCATGGCAGTCCACTGACACATCTCAGGGGTAGAGTCACCTTTCCGCCCTTCCAGTTCACCTGCTCTGAAATCCGCATTATGAAGAAAACTGGATGTTTCTGCAGTAAAAAGAGGCTCCACCTCTGGCTAATCCAGAAAATCTCTGTGGCAGATCCTTCCAGATACATAGATTTTCATCCTTTACTTTTGAGTTGTTTAAATTTACCAGGAATTGAATTGTGTAAATTCATCATAGGAACCCTGGTGGCACAGATTAAAGGCACTGCCCTTGCTAAAGAGAAACCTTTGGATGACCAGGCTTCCAGTCCTCCTGGAAGCCTCCCTTCCCATCTTGCATGTGCTACAACAGACACAGCACAGCTAGACGGGACATGCTTTCCTCAGATTGCCAGGAGCAGGTCTCAGTATCTTGCCTAAAACATTGCATGAAGGAAAGAAAGGCATTACTTTGGATCCAGCATAGGACTGAGTTTGCCAGAGGTGCTTCTCACACAGGATAGTGGGGCAATTCTTTTCCTTCTCATTCCTGTGTGACGTTTGTGGCACATATGTCCTGCTGAAAAGGAAGCCAGGCAAGAAGCTACAGGGGACAGGAACTTGCTTGGATTCATATATCCTAGATTCTCTCATCACACATCCATGATGCAAGGGATTCAAACAAAGGTTTGTATGACTCTTTTTCCAAAAGTATGCCTGAAGGGAGATTGTAGCTGAAGAAATAATCAGCAGTAGTCCCAACAAAATGAAATTGAAGAGTAAAGGTGGAACAAACCCCCCAGAACCCGGCTCTGAAGAATGAAAATAATTTTTGAGAGTACTACTTTTGAGAGGAAATGGTGGAATTAGACCTGGAGGTTGGACAGAGGTGAATGAACGATAAAATGATCAGGAATATCAGCCTCCCTAATCCAAACAGTACTACAGGACTGGAACTGTGCAATCAAACAGGTACAAATTGCAAATGGGAGAGCAAAGATTCCAGGCTATCTTTTCCAAAGAGCACAGAAATAAGTAAGTAGCAGAAATGAAGAAACAAAATTTACATGGCATAAATACAAACTGGTAATCTAAAACTATTTCCCATAATACTGCCAGAGAATATCAGTAAGGGCAGGCTATTTGAATAAATATGAGTATCTTAGACTAGACTAAAGAAGAATGAACTTATTGACAAGAACTTTGGACGTTCTTTGATGCAGGGCATGGTCCAATCACCAAGGAGTAGGAAAATAGTTCTCAGACAAATTATTTTTTTAAATTACTGACTGTGAGAAATGTACAGTGAGAAATGTACAGTATAAAACATATAGTAACACTTAAAATAAAAGAGACCTTGCTTGAACTAAATGACTTGAAAGTACAACCTAAAATAGACATTTCTGTAAACTGCGGTAGTCAAAACACAAAGAAACAAAGAGGAGAAATGGTTCAGGGCTCTGTAAGCAAAGTCATGAAAGTTTAAAAGCATCAGAAATAAAGGAAGCAGAACTTAAAACGAGGCAAAATCCAAGTTTATGCCAGGAGACTATAGGGAAAGAGAGAAATGAAGCAGTGGTTAAGGAAGGCAGAAGACAAAAGTAGCTGAGAACGAAATGGAAGAAACTTGAGATTGAAGTGCAGTTGTGCAAGCGGGTGGATTTTGAGATTGCCAGCACACCTGTCTTCTGTTCCAGAGCAGCACCCACAAATGACAAATAGAATAAAAGAGGTGAACAAGGGCAGTGCACCTGATAATATTTTATTGAGACACTGCAGAAGGAAAGAAATGTTTCATAAAATCCAAAGGGCAACCCGAGACCAAGGAAGATAAAAGTGAAAGAGAAAATTGGTGTACGTGAAATTTTGGGCAGAACAAACCCCCGTAAGGAATCAGAAGACAATGTGGTTCTCCAGCACTGCCTGGGAACAGGGTCAGGAGGTAGAGGTGAGAGAATTCCCATTCCAGGGGATACAGCAGCTGGAGAGGCAGGTCAGGATTAAAAACAGACAGCAGAAAGGCAAGTAGAAAGGCCGGGAGAAATTTAAGCGAGCTGTGTAGGGAGGGGGAAGATCTCAAATTTATAAAGGAGGAAAACATATTTTGGGAATTCGGCAATCCCACTTCGCCGGGGAGTCTGGTCAAGACGAACTAATCGGGGAGGTCACGGTGGAAGGGGGGCGCTGGTAAGAGAAAGTGGGGCCGGCACTTTGGGAACAAAGTGGGGAGAAGAAGGAGGCGAGGACAGAGAACCCAGGGAAGCACCACGGAACGGGAGCGGGAAAAGGGAGAAGGGAGGGTACAGCTCTGGAACCCCTCGAAACATGGCCTTGCGTGACGGGTACAAGGACCGGGACCGGGACCAGGACCAGGACCAGGATCGGGGCTGGGATCAGGACCAGTACCGTGACCAAGACGGGGACTGGGATGAGGACCGGTACCGTGACAAGGCCCAGGCTCAGCCCAGGACCGGAGTCTCCTGCCCTCCCTCCCTGCCGCCCCTCACGCCGAGCTCCCTGACGCGCCGCACTCACCGCCCCGAGCGCGCGGCCCCTTTGCCCCGGCGCGCACCGACTCCACCCCGCCCCGCGGGGCGGGGCGGGGCCCTCCCAGGTACCACCCTCTCCATTGGCTAGCGCTTCCCACCCTCCCGCCTCCGCCCGCTCCGATTGGCTAGCCCCTGCGGTCCGTCCCCGCCCCGCCCGCCTCAGCCCCGCTTGTTTTCATTCCCGCCGCGCCGCGCGCGCGGAGGGGAGCTGGCTCGCGCCGCTCTGGCCGCCGCCCCCTGCCCTCCCCTGCCTTCGCCGTGCCCCCGTGTCATTTGTGGGATAGTGGCGGCCCGGCCCGGCAGCGCCCCTCCTCCCTCCCTCCCCCAGCTCCTTCTCCATCCCCAGGTCCAAGATGGCGGCGGCGGCGGCCGGCTCCTCCGGCCCCATCCCCCGCCGCCCCCCTGCCCCGGCGGGCCCGCGGTGCCCGGGCTTCCTGGCCCAACTTTGCGTCGTCTGCTCCTTCCTCGAGCGCTACGGGGCCCTGCTGGAACCTGCCCGAGCGCCTTCCCCGAGCTGGAGCGCGTCCTGCAAACCGCCGCAGGAGCCCGGAGACCAGGGTGAGCCGGACCCCGACACGTCCCCCCCGCCCGCCCAGCCCGGGCCGGCCGGCTGAGGGGGGCCAGGGGCGGGGGGGGGGGCCGGGGCTGTTCCCCCCCCGCCTCCTCCCGGCCCCGGGGGTGGGAGCGCGCCGAGGGAGAGGAGGGCCTGGGGATTCCCGGGGGGAGGGGACCCTCGCTCTCCTCTCTGCTTTTTTTTTAGGGGGGAGCAGCTATTTGTTGGGGGGGGGGGGGCGGCTGTGGCAGGGCACGGGAAAGGAGCAGGGGCACCTTGCCCGTCCCCTCTCCTCGCTCTCAGTGCCGCCTGTGACCCCCCCTGCGTCCCTCCCCCCCGACGTTTCCCTGGGTTCGTTCTCGAGCTCTGTGCGGGTGGGACTCCTTGCAGAAAGGAGGGATAAGCTGAAATAACTATTTTCGTTCAGCTTGGCGCTGGCAGCCGCTCTCTCTTCCATCTCCTCCCTTCCCCCCAGCTTGGGGGGTCGCTTCACAACCCCCCTCCCCCATATATCTTATATATTTAATGTATCTGTCTCTTTTTGCTTGTCGGCCGAAACAAGGAGGGAGCACACGCACAGACACAACACACGAGGGAATGTCCTGATCCCCACTGACCCCCCCCCCGCCCCTTTCCTCTCTGTGATGTGGATGAGGAATGGGGGGCGCGGGGAGGCCCCCGAGCCCCCCCCAGCTGCTCTTGTGGGCCGTCTCCTCCCCACAAACACAGCCAGCCATTGTGTGCCACCTCCATCCCTCTCCTCTCCCCCCTCCTCCCTCATCCCCTCTGTAGTTGCGGGGGGGATAAGCTGTGGCTGCTCCCCCGCCGCCACCTGAGACGTGCGAGGTGGAGGGATGGGTTGTGCACTCCGCCGCTTGCTTTCGAGCTGCTCCTCCTCTCCCCTCCTCTCTCCAGAAGCAGGTTTGGTTGCCTGACTCTCTTTAATTCCAGCTCCCCGCGGTGGATGCGGGAGGGCCTGGGCCGAGAGATCAGCCCGGGGAAGGAGGGCTGTATTGGAGGCAGCCGTAGAAATACGGAGGGGAGGGAGCTTGTTGCTCTTGATCTCTTGTCTCTGTTATTCGCTTGGTTGTTGCCTCTGCACTCTTGCCACATAGGGAGACCATGGAGCCCACGGCGCATGCCCGGCAAGGCCCCTTGGAAACTTCCTGCTGCTGGAGAAGCCCAGCTCGGGGCTGTTTTTGGTCCAACAGACCCTGCTTTTCCCCCAGAAGGCACCCGCTCTCGCCTCCTTCCCTCCAAACCCACCCTATCTGGGGCGTGTGCCATTAAATCGGCGTGTAGGTGTTTCCTCTCGTAAAGGAAGTTGCTTTCTGCCAAGTGCAGATGTCCTGCCTGTGGGTTCACAGCATCAGCTGCTGAACTAGAATGAAATAAGATTAATGTGTTTTCTCCTCGTGTTGTCTGGTGCCTAGTCAATATGAAAAAAAAGACAGCTGAAATCTGCAAACTTCTTAAAACAGGGTTAACTTTCTGGGAAGTATGTATTTATATTCAGTTCCCCACCACTCCTATACCTCTTATGTTATATAAAGGACTCATTAGAAAAAACGTTGTTTTGTCAAACTGTTGCAAAACGTATTTGTAAAAATCACCAACACACTTAAAAGTTTGAATTTTTAACAAAAATAATCCTTTTAAAGTAACGTCCATAAAGAAAACTAATGCTTTTACTGTGACAGTGTCAGTGGGTGTGCAATAGTAATTTTCTTGTGTGAAATGCAGAAAAATTAAAATGAAAGGATGAGATAGTAACCTGTGTTCTGAGTGTATATACCTTTGATTAAACAAAAAATAAAGTCCTGATGACTTTTAATTGCATGATGGGTGGGAGGGGTTTTCAATAGGATAATGTTTACTGCATAACTCTCTTCTGAAAAGGTTTTGAATTATTTGTGGAGTTTGCATTATGGATTGATTTGGTAGTTGCCAAGTTTTTAAACTTTTCTCTGTTTGTTTTTTCCTTTCCTGTTTGGCAGAGGGTGGGTTATTCCCCTTCCCCCTCCCCCCCCCCAAAATGGGAGGAGATGCAGCTTCTGAAAATATACTTTCTGAAGTGCTGGGTTTTTTTACTTGTGTCTGGTGTAGATGATGTGTTTGGTTGCATTTTCTCATCTCTAAGAAAGAAAGTGTGGAGGTGTGAAAAACAAACTTGTATGATTCTTGATACTTTGTGTGGTGACTGGTGTGACAGGGGTTTTCTTTTCCTTTGATACGACCGGCTCCTTGGGCTTGGTCTGTGGTGCTGGTACCTGTTACCTGGAGTATTTTGTGCTCTTGCAAAAACAGCTGCAGTTACTAGATTTTTCTACATGATTTTTACTTCAAGTAATCAAGGTGGTGTTTTTAAGGGTACAAGTCATAAAGTTGCTAAACCTAGATTGAAAATTGAAGTGGGTCTTTTATTTCTGAATGTCTATTATTTACCAACTGTATGTAGTTTTCCTCGGAATGCAAAAGGGATTTTGATTTCAGTTATATACAGTTAGTTTCACTTTTGATACCAGCATTGCTTGACAGTAGATTTACAATGGCAGTAATACATAACAAAGTCTAAGGAAATAGGTACACAATCCCAAAGTACTGGGGTTTTTTCCTGAATTTCTTAAAAACTGGAGCAAGTTTTAAATCTCAACTGCCACATAACAGCTATTTGTAACTCCTCTCCATATTAATTTTGCAATCAAGAAAAGAAATCAATAGCCTAGGGGTTTTTTTAGTTATCTTTAAAACTGTTCTGATTCTCAGCAGTCGTAATTTTATTTATTTTTTTTTTAAAGTTTTGTTTGTGGTTGTTTTTTTTTATCTTTTAAACATGACCTATATTGTCTTGTCTGAAGAGTTTCTCTTGGGAGATGCCAGCAGAAGTTATTTCCCTTATATTAGGAGCCCCAAGGAGAACTTAGGGCTTAAGTCTGAATGTTGTTCAGTAGTTGTATAACAGTCATATTTTCTTCCCTGTTAATAATTAGAACAAAGAACTTGTTCCTTATTAAGGCAACAAGCTACCGCCTTCCCTCACAGGAAGGGATGCTGAGCAGATGTTGACAGCTAGGAAGCTACCAGTTATTTCTTAGAGGGATTTTAGATTTATTTTTTTTTTTTAGTGCTTGGACAGCACTTAAACTTTGCTGTATTGCCTGTCCTAGCTGAGAATTTCAAGACAAATAGTAAGGACAGCAGCGCTTGGGTATGAATAGTTTTCAAAAGTAGCCTGACTAGTTTAGATACCGAATTAACCTGAATTAGTAGGAGGCTAGATGTTTTAACCGTGTGTACACAGGTATGGTCTTAAAGTGCACAAACCAATTTAAACTGTTCTTTGGGATTTAGTGGGTAACATAAAACATACTTGAATAGGAAAGTAAGAATGTGTGGTGTTGATTTCACCCGTTGCTTTTTAATAGTGGGATAAACTGGTAGCCCTGGAAATAGTGTTCTTACGAAGGCTGTATGATAAAACAGCTCAACTTTTCCAGCTGGTGGCTCATTTGAAAGTTGTAGCTATTCAAACAAAGTAATAAGACCTGTAGTTATCTGAGGAAGATTTTATTTTATGACGAATAATTATCTTGCCTTTATGAATGCTTAGTTTTAAGTACAATGTCGTGACTTGGGTTGGAATTATGACAAACTTCTTGGGAAGGAGTGAAGTTGAGTGTCTGTCAAGATGGTTAACAGTGTTAACTCACAAAATTCGCTAGTTTATGTGCCTCAAAAACTAAATGGTTTCTTGTAGGTTTTATTAAAAAGCCGTGTTTTAACCCCAGTCAGCAACTCAGCCCCACTCGGCTGCTTGTTGACTTCCCTGGTGGGATGGGGGAGAGAATTAGAAGGGTGAAAGTGAGAAAACCAGTGGGCTGAGATAAAGACAGTTTAATAGGGAAACCAATATGAGGAATTTATTCACCCCAGCCCACTGGCAGGCAGGTGTTCAGCCATCTCCAAGACAGCAGGGCTCCATCATGTGTATGGGTGACTTGGGAAGACCAATGCCATCACTCCCAGTGTTGCTGTCTTCCTTGTTCTTCCCTCAGCTTTTATTGCTGAGGATGACTCCATATCATCTGGGATATCCCTTGGGTCAGTTGGGGTCAGTTGTCCTGACTGTGTCCCCTCCCAGCTCCTTGTACACATCCAGCCTCCTTGATTGCGGGGAGGGACGAGGAGCAGAAAAGGCCTTGGCTCTATGTAAGCTCAGCAATAACAAAAGCACCCTGGTGTTCACTGGCACAGGTTGCCCAGAGAAGCTGTGGCTGCCCCATCCTTGGAAGTGTTCAAGGCCAGGATGGATGGGGCTATGAACAACGTCTGGTCTAGTGGAAGGTGTCCCTGCCCATGTCAGAGGGGTTGGAACAAAGTGATCCTTAAGGCTTCTTCTAGCCCAAACCGTTCTAGGATTATCAACACTGTTGTGAGCACAGATCCAAAGCACAACCCCATACTGGCTACTATGAAGAAAATTAACTCTATCTCCTCAAAATCTAGCACAGCAACCCAAAATATGATCTTAACTGGAACTTCTGAGGGCTGGGAGATGTCGTTACAACCGTATTACTGTACTTCCAGGTGCAAAACTGAGGTAACGATACAGACCATCCTGCAGTGTGCCATGGTGTCGCATCTCCTTTGAGTCTTTGCCTTTGCTTCCAAAGGCAAAGCTGCAAACTGGAACGAATCATCACAGAAAACCAATACTTGTTCTCCTTGTTCTAACAAATATACTCTCTCTGTTTTATTTTTTTTCCTCTGAGAGTTTTTACTTGCAGCAGAAGAGCAATTGCAAATTTAAATGGTAAATATATGGTAGAGAGGAGCAAGAACTATATCTGTATTTGGGACTGTGTTTAAGGAACCATGATATCAAGTCACAACCTTCTTTGTGTTGGTAAATAGCTTGAGAATCAGTATAAATGTTAATTAAGCACTTGGTCTCTTGTGAATGAAAATATTAGTAGAATGTTAGCTTGCACAACAGAGATCTAAT